CGTTACTGTTGCCACTGCGGATCGAAGGTGGGGGAAGCTTATCGGTCGATCCGAAGCTGATGCCGGAGTCGACTTTGCGACTCTTGTGGCCACGAGGTGCGGGGTCCTCTCGGTCTTCGAAGCTGGAAGGACCGTTCACCAGCGCACACTCGTCGATGATCTCATTGGCAATTCGCAGATACTTGTCCAGGGCTTCCCGAACCAATGGCCATCCATTCGCTTCACCTTCGGGCGCTCCCTGGGTGATCACCTTATCTAGTATCTGCCTACCGTTGGTCTCAAAAGCAGAGATGTATCGGAAAAATCCGTCACGCTGAGATTTGAGGATTTGCGGAGTCAGCTGAGTAGTGGGCGTAACCGTCGCTTCCGTCACAGGGGGGAAGAGCGTGTTCAGCATGGCAATGCAATTGGCCTTGTTAAATGGTGCCAACAACATCTCATTGATCAAGATCTGGCGAACCATGTCAGCAAAGGCAAGTAGTCATCGAGGTTAAGAGGGGAACCAGCTTACCCAGCGGCGAAGTCCGAGGTAGATCTGAGTGTAGAGAGCTTCAACTCTCCGACCTTGAACATTGATCGATTCGATCCATGTGAGAACCCCCGGATATTTCTTTGCAAGCTCGGTCTTCTCCTTGAGGTCGTCGGGATGGATATTCAGTCGCTGTAAGGCAGCCGCAACCTCTCTTCTCCGGCGATTTTCTAGGTCCTTCAGATAGTCCAGGGCGGTCAAGGCTTGAGGAAAATCAACCTCGTCCAATTGAGGAGCGAAACAGCGACGAAGGAAAGAGGTCACGAAACTTGGCGGTAGGGAGCAGGGCTGGGATGGCATTCGAGCAATATGATGAGTCAGCTGTGCCCTGAAGTCCGCAGCGGGATCCAAGACGAAGTCCTGAGAGGAGATGGAGGCTTTGGACGAGCTGGAAGAGCGATTTGAGAAAGCAGTTTCGGGGGTGCGGGTTCCCGAGCTAGGTTGTCTGGTCGGGTTGCAGTTCAGCGCGTACATAGTACGAAGGGGAATCTCGTAGGTTTCAGGATAACGTAGGCAGTGGTCGAAGATCCAGGTCCAGGCAGAGCCATCTAGGCCGCTCGGACGTTCTTCCAGATGTGCCATGTTTGTCGATAAGGAAGAGAATGGAAAGTCAGATGGTCGATTGGAACTCGTTGGAATCCAGGACGAAATCTGTTGGGGAGGAGCGGATTTTAAAAGGACTGCAGGTCAGGAAATGTCCTGAGTAAATCAAACCCGTAGTATACGTTCAGGGGATGTGTATGCGACGTGATGGAGACGCAGGTCGAAGAGTCAATCCAAATAGTACCGAAAACGCGGATCGCAAAGACGGCTGGTATCACTTGCGTGTAACCTGTGAAACCCGCGACTCCATACCACGAATCTGCACCTCGAAAACAACAATTGACCAAAGCGGATGAAGGGTTTGCTGAACTGGGGAGAGGAGCGCAAGTGAGAAGTACTATCCCTTGGGTTCCTTCCGGCGTGAGGGGGGAAAAAGCGTCTATAGGAAGGCAAACGGAAGAAGTTCCGGTTTGCTTGATCTCCGCTGGTTAAGTCAATTGATTGAAAGCCGAATTTAACTTTCGTTTCCCTCTGGGTCCTCTTTGTTTCGAGTCCTAATCAAGCTGTTGGAGTACTCGAAAGATGCCGATAAAGATTGGATTAAAAAAAAAAGGTGGTGTGCTTTGTATCACGGAAAGTCGATAACTCGGCGGGGATGCTGTCAAAGCAATAAAGCAAACAGTGATCGCAAACAGTGATCGAGGATCAGTGCGCTAAAAGAAGCCGAAGAGATTTGGTGCTTTGTATTTTGGATAGGTCCAAAACCAAGTCTTGCGAGTCAAAGAATGAATAGAATGGAAATTTTGAGATCCAGCGACGGCGAAGAACGAGAAGCAACGAATGTGGCGTCAGAACAAAGAAAGACAGGCGCAGACGCAGTCGCGTGGAAGTGAGACAACAACAACAACAACGATATTGGAATATTAATATTTATCAATCACCAGTTCCAAAACAACATCATCAAAATAGACAGAAGGAGGGGAAAGAGGAAGAACCAGGAATAAATGGTAACTGCCTTGTGGACTGGCTTCCGAGGGAAAATGGGTGGATCGGACTAATAATCCCCATGCTAATAAGCAGCGCACTGATCGGGTTCATTAATTATTACAAGAGCTGATCGAGGCTTCTGGACTCTTTTTGCCGTCCCACTTTTGCCCCTCCCACCGGTCAATAATTACAATCCAGTCGATCAGTTTTACCTGCTACTTGCTTCCTGATTCCTGAACCATGAGCCTATGACAATTTGACACTATTTCGAGCGCCGGTAGACTAACGAATCCTTCGATCTGTGTTCCGGTTCCGTGGATTTCGCCTTCGCCTTCCGCTGTGTGGAAACTGCCAGGTGGATGCTGCCACCCAATGACGATACTCAATTGCTGTCTGACAGTCTGCTACTCCGTACTTAGGTACGTATCCATGGATGGATGTAAGGTACATAAGATAGGAAGCTTTGTTTCTATTCTCGATCACTTTTTTTCAAAGTACTGACGGACTGACATCAGCTTGCAGCGCGGAGGCTGATGTACGATGAAACTCGCAGAGCACACACCATCAATGTGACGCAGAAAATCGATCACCTATCTTCCGGCAAACAAAGGAAACTCTCATCCATCATATCGACCCTTACAATCGGCGTTCGTTCAGATTTCACATGAAAATAATGAATTTACTAGTACTCCGCACTGTGACTACTGTCCAACTCAAAAAAGGTCCAGACTGGATAAATCCAACCCATTGGAAACATCCTAACGAGGAACCATTCCTGCTAGGGATAAGTCCGTCGTTGTGGTTTGTTTGACGGTTTGACCTTGCAGGCTCCCGACCTTCCGCGCGGACCAGACATCCAGGACGAACAAATCAGGATGGCTGAGTCAATGAAGGTGGATCAAACAACCCCTGTAGGTTGGCGAGCTGCGTGCCGGCCCCAGTGTGCTGGGTTCCGCCAGCATCCTAGCGCGTCGTTGTCCTTTTGTCTGTTCAGGTACCGTCGGGTCGTCGACCTCGTACGTATGTGCCTAATTCCTAGGACTCTAACAGCCTAATACACTAATAGCGTAAGGAGGTACTTCCTGCCTCACACGGCCACGCCTTTCGAGTCCAGGCCCACAATTGGACATCTCCTCTTTTTCCAGTCAACCGAAGTGAGCAGTCAGTTCAATTGCTCGAAATATCGCCGTGCCGTTATCTTGCATGATGCGTCAAGCGATCAATCTTGGATTTTACGTGCGACACGCTGCATTAGGCACAAGTCCGGATGGCCCTGAGATTGATTTTCCTCATTTAACATCGAGTCAAGTGCAAAGAACGGCTCCGCAGTTCGATTCCTGCGTACTACTGGTAGGTCGCTGTGTACTTCGTACCTGTCTCAAACTGCCGTATGAGCAGCACTTCGAAATGGTTCATTTTCAGTAGTAATACTATTCTGCCTATCGATTCGGCGGTCGGATGATTGAACACTGGCATCATATTTCACTCCATACGGAGTACACGAGTCGAATACCCAAAATATGACCAACATCGGGCATTTTACCCCCAAGACGCAGCACCGTTGGACGTCATAGGCTCATACACTCTAATGCCAAACGTTGATCTTTCATCTTTTGCTGTCGATCACTCTCGACGATCGAGGGATCAACTTCAGCTGATGTCAGTGGCCATGAAAGGAAACCTTTCGGTCCCCATTTTCAGTCAAGCTGCAGGAGACGTTCCGAAACCCAGAGTCCGAAGTTTGAGACTCCTACCGCGACCTTTTGGATTGATCTCATTCAATCAACAAAGCATTTCAATCCTGCACAGACACTCCTATCTGGAGGTCGCAAAAATATCATCCTAGAACGCTCATCGAGACGCAATCGCTCGTGCCAAAGACGACGGGATTTGTGAAGCCTATTTCCTCTTTAGTTTACTATTGAACTGTTTTTCTGCGGAAACAGCGCGACTTTCCATTTCCGGATTCGGTCTGAAGTGCCGCCGCTTTTTGCTCACTGAGCAGTTCCAGAGCCGTCCGGATAGTCCCCTGCTCACTCACTGATCATTGCCAAACACAGAGTGGGACTGATTAATCACCCTGGGCAGCCAGATAAAAGTGGTTAAGCCAAGCCTAGCCATACCCATGCACAATTCTCTTTTTGGGGGCATAGATTTCACTTCGCCCTAATGATGTAGAAGGGTCTCCTTTTTCTTTGTTCGCCTATAATGCTAGGAATAGTACGGACTTGCAAAATGATCATTAAAGGCGCAAGCTTGTTATGCTGTAATGTGCTATAACAGAAATTGCTAAACCCTACACCATGGAGAGACTTTGATTTTCGTAGGTGGAAAAAGTTAGTCGTCCTGCCAACGCTTCAGAGTGATAATGGTCGACATAATGCATCCTTGTCTCTTAGTTGTCTAGTAGACAGGGTAGTATCCCAAGCACCTCAATCTGAAGTGGTCTTGGAGCGGGCGCCTATCGCGGCACCTTCTGGGTACTAATGGGAATGAGAAGAGCATAGGATGAGATGTCCAGAAGACATGATTTAGAATGCATGTTACTGCTAACGTCTAACAGAAGCAAAGATAGGCTAGCAAGGGATTGGTAATTAGATCTTTATTACATGGCTCAGGTCATATAAATGCACTACCAGGCCAGCAAGCTGACAGACAAGACCCTCCATAACCTACATCTCAGACTTGTATACGGTACATACTGGATCCTACTTACACTATGGGCCGTAGAGAGACCCACGAGTCGCTTTCAAGGTTTATTGAGGAGGCCTGGCGAGGGTGTTCAAGCAGGTGCACTGGTTGCAAGCCAACAGGTGGGAGGCACTTTGGCCCGGGGAACCCCCATGTCGAGAGTCTAGAAAGTCATTCCCTGACTGGCGCAGCAATTACTATAGATATGGCGCGTATCTAGGAACTTACTGACAATGTCACTTAAAGCCTGTCATGTAACTCCAATGACGAGTGAGCTGGCGACTGAGTGCTTCACATGCCCATATTGCCCTAATAGCTACTAAGAGGGCCTGGCGGTAGGAGGAGACTTCTACCTGGCGGACTTAAAAATCTTCAAACTTTATATCTGCCTGACCGCGACTCGGCTTCCACATTCAAACCAGATGCCTCTCTTGGATGTGCCCCTAGACTTACTCTGGTGTATCCTGGACGAGCTCGAACTAGCCAGGGATGCGCACTGGTAAGCGTCAATGCAAGCACTGGAGAGGACCATCATACAAGTGGAATCAGTGGAATCGAAATATTGGGTTATATACGTCACTTGATTTGATATTTACAACAATAGTCCTTGATTCATCAGCAATATTCTACGTGCCTTAAGTTGGAACTCACAGTAAACGGATGCAAATGCTGATGAAACCTTGAGGTGTTAGACTCAAGACATTTAGACATTCAATAGCTTTACAATTAGGAGGATGACAAGAGCTGCATTAAATACAACGTTAAGAGCCATAATTAGGTGTAAGATAGTACCCTAAAAATCTAAGCAATCGCGCAATAATACTTTGGTCATGGACCTACCTTTCCCATACAGCGACTAGCTGAATACTCCCAATGGGCAGAAACTGTAAACTTTTCTCAGCCTCTTGGAGCTCATGATAGCCCAAAGCGACAATCGCAGATGCCGAGAAGCCGGGGAATGGCTGCATTGATAGTGCGATTGTGAGTGAGGGCCGAAATGACTAGAACAATAGCTCATACGTCACATAGGAAGGGACTTTGTTGATATGATTATAGGCTAAAGTCTGAAAAGTGCATGCAAACCCTTCATGATACATGTATAACTTTCCTTATGTCAAATCTATCTTGTGAATTCTTGGAATTGCTCCAAGGCAGCACATATCCACGTTGGTTGCTCACAACTCTTACCTGCCCCTCCTTGAAATCAGTGGTATAATGTGTGTGCCCAAACACCCAGACTTTCACCCCAGCTAGTGCTTGTGATAGGATATCAGTTCCAAATGCAACGCTCCAAGGGTTCTGGGCGTGTTGCGGGCTCGATGTCCTCTGGAGCAGAGGGGCATGGTGTGTCACAACAAGAATCGATCTTCTTTTACTCCGCTTGTCTGCCTTTCCATTTCCCTGGTGTATCGAATGTATCTCTTTCCGTAACCAGGCGAGATCTGAATCATGGCTTGCATTATGGTCATCAATTGACCAGCCTTCGATTTTTTGAAAATCTTTGACTTTCGACTGGACGACATCCCTCGATTCATGAGGTACTTTTGACCAAAGCGTGCAGCCTAGGATAGTGACGCAAGAACCCGGGACATCATATCTTTTCTGATGAAGGACAATTAATCGTCCATTTAAGGAAGGTTCCCGTTCGAGTTGTCTAGCTTTCTCCAGCCCTGCAGCGATAGTCCCATTGTAGAACTCATGATTTCCGAGTACGAGGATTACCAATTTGAATCTGTCTGTCTGTTTTTGTAGGAAATGGCGATAATCATCATAGTCCGTTAAGCGCCCAATATCACCCGCCAGGATAAGATGCTCTGCGCAAACCGGAATTTCATAAACGGAATACTGCAGGTTAATCTCAAGATGGAGATCAGAGAGAATTTGAAAGGACACGGAAGACCGATTTAGATATGAACGTAATTTATGTAGCATTATGTCGCTCTAAAACGCTGTAATCGTAGTTGAAGCGTCAGGTCTAGCTATTAAATGAGGGGACACCTTTGGAGGCGGGTTGGAAGTGGAAGTGGATGCTTGATCTATTAGGGGTGGCCAGGAACGCTGAACTATCCAATAGATCTAGCTTATAACAAAATGAGGTCGAAGTGTATACTCACGTGATGGGTATTGCCAAGATTGCGCTCTTGGATGCTATTGAAGCCGGAAGTCTGCCCCTTTTGTGGGCAAACACTATCAATGCGATGCCACGGTCTTTCCTTACTAACATTTCAGACAATGGAAGTCGCTCTGGCAATAGAGAGAGTTTTGACCAACTTGCGATCTGAAGGTATACCGGCCTGTGTTATTGGTGAGATAGCATTAAACTACTATAATGTACCCCGAGTTGTGCATGTAAGTGGTCTCTCGCTCTCTGTGAAGAACATTGTCTTATTATTTTCAGGATATCGAGATATGCGTCCCAGAAAGCTTACTATCGAAAGCTGTATCCAACCTCTGCTCTACCGGTCTATATCAATTAACGCAGAAGGAAGGGTACGATATATTCACGGAATATAAAAGGGGATTTCCGACGCTCGCTGTGACAAACAGCAACCTTCTAGTTGTGATCTTTCCTGATTCACATTTCCATCTTTCCCCGCTGGGCTCCAGTATCGTATCGTATAAGGAGATAAAACCTACAGTCTACAGTCATGAGATCCAAGGTCTAGTTCCAGTGGATGATAATACGACATCTTCCGACCCCGAATACTAAGGCTTAGTCTTACTAAGCCGCAACGTAGCAGGGGTCAGTTAATTTCGAGAATGACTGTATTAGTATAAGTCGCCTTCCATTTTGACTCTTACAGAGCACTTCTGCAACACTACCAGACAGCTCTTCCAGAGACTCCATCATGACTTCAGCTCGAAAGCCAATGGGCAGTTGACTCTAAGCCTGACCGATGTGTGAATAATAGCACGACATTGACTCCTCAAAAGATGAGACATACAGACAGTGGGAGGACGCGTTGGGGAAGACTTCAATAGAAATGATATTGCCTCGGTACTGATTGTACCTCCATCAAAAGATCTCAGTCCTGAATTGACAGGAAGCATCAAAAACATACAACAGCCGGGATTCGCTGGTGGTCACCCACCCAACTACTAACCGGCCGGCGTGTGGCTTAAGTACGGCTGAGCGGACGGGAAGCCCTGTTTTCCACACCCTATGGTCGTATGTGCTTGTCCTCAGCATGGAATGGTTAATGTATGCTTTGCAGTAGATTGAAATAAAGTCGGAGTACAGGATAGAGATCTCTTGTACTCTATGGACCGGGAGGCAGCGAACACTCGGGTTCTTATGCACTGTTTCAAAATTGAAGATCTGTCAGACCGCTCAGAGGCAGACAGATAGCGCGCGCTCAGTAGTCCTTATACTCATCAATGATGTCTTTTGCTGTGAATGCTGAATCTGGTGCGGTCAGGACCTTTGAAGAGGTACTTGAATAAATATAGGAAGATAAGCGCCGTCGAGCAGAGGCGGCAGACGCTTACGCCCCTGGCTACAACACCAGCCTTCCTCCTCTGTAGATAGCAGGGCGGTACTGCAGAAGCAGCAGGTCCTTAACTGGTCGTGCGAGAATCGGGTCACGACCATGAGGCCAGCTGCTCCCATTAGCAGAGGGACCCTTGCCCCGGCTATTGCGCAAGATATCCATCCACTACCTTCCGGTTGTGGGAGCGCCGGTTGAATCTCTGGTAGCAGAAGGCGCAATGGACTCTGACGCTGTATGGTGTTCGGTAGAGGTGTAGTCTCCAGCAAAAGGAGCACGGGGAGGATGTCAGGTGGGCCAGGGAGTAGCAGACAGGGGCGCTGGACTGACAGGAGTTGTAGGAGCCGTTATGCATTGCTAACACCGGCAGGTCTCACAGGTCCTATAACAGACATACTCCCGTGGCCGCCAGAACAGCTAAGTACGCGGGGAAAGAAGTCGCATTAGATGTGTAGCATAGGTTGATGGAAGGGATGACGAAGTCGGCAGGATAAGGAATGTTAAGGAATATGGAATTACAGATACATGGATAGATATAGCAGGCCACACAGGTAAGAGTGTGGGCAATGGGTAACCCAGTTACCCTGCCATATAGAGGAGATGCAGAGATCCCCTTTCCTACCACTGTAGTATTTCCGTATATAAAACGCCATATCGTCAAGCAGGCGAGCAGGTCTCAGCAACTGAGCTGGCGAGAGCACCGGAGCACTGACATCAAGATAGTGCGATGGTGCGCCGGACAGCGCTGACCTGTAGCAGCCGGACCAATCAATGGCAAAGCAGTGGTTTAGTTCATGATATTGCATATGTACGTGCATCATCAGCAGTAGCAAGGCCGGAGATGGATCAAGCGGATGGAGCAATTCGATAAGTGACGTGGACCGTCAACTAGCAAGGCCGAATCAGCAGACGTAGAGAGAAAGTCGCGTTACTGCACACTTGTGTTAGGCAATGGATGTTTTCCATTAAGGGGGCCTGGTCAGAATCTTCCAATCACACTGACTCTGGACCCACTCACTTTGGTACCATTAAAGCGTGCTGGAATAGATCCCTCTCTTAAGAATAATTTGGGAGCTGCCAGAGCGGCTGGTGCGTGCACAGCGAGCAATCAGTGAGTGACCTGGAGCACTCACTGAGCACTCATGTGCGGCCCTCATAAAAACAGCAGCATCCGTATCGGGCAATGTACAGGACTTGCATGAAAACAATTCACTACAATTCACTACTAACAGCATGCTATGCTCTGCTAGTGACCCAGCAGGCCTAGCATCTCCAGCTTATCGGACTCGGCCCCCCCGCTGGACCCCGCTCCAACCGGTTTCTTGGGATCATAGTCCGTGCCGAAACGGGCATGACGGGCCGGGCTTTTATGGTTCTAGTGCGTCTGCCTTGAACGATTAGTTTATCAGGGTTTCAGCCCAAAGTTGAGTTTAGGCAAAGGAGTCGGAATGAGGCAAGCCAGATACATCACGAGTTCTGTATACTTTACAACGTACCAATGGTGTATCTCAAGTTGAAGATTCATTGTCAGGAAGTAGGTACACAGATCTGACTTTGAGTCTCACTCTAACATTTCTATAATGGTAAAGTCCAAGTAGTCAACAGAGACATAACCGTTCATTATCTATGGATGATTATTTAATGGCCACTTGCTACAGCCATTCCGTCTATATCCAAATCAAATCTTATTGACATTTGACATTTGACATTTGACATGCACTAAGCTATGGATGATAAAAGAAAGCTTGCATCATGCTTCAGCTTAGACTAAAGTTGAACATCTATCCTTATTGCCATTGCCCAGCTTTATGATGTCTAGCTAGGCACTAAACAAATTTTGATGTCTTTCTCCTCTATCATTTGTTTCCCTTTCCATCTTTTCGTTCCTCGCCTTCATCTGTTGGTCCTCTCTTGTTTCATGCCCTTGATAGATTTACCTAGTCACCCGCTCACAGGGTCAATGACATCAAGCCCCCTTAGAATGGAACCCCGGCAATTTTGCTGGTTTCGAGGTCCGTCAGCCAGGCTACCTGTCACGGTCCTGCACAGGGTGATGGGATGCTCTTATGAGGAACGGCTATCACCTTGAAGATGGACTCACAGCTGTTGTCTTCATATCATTGAACCGATTAAGTTGGACCGTGCATCTACACCAAAAATAACATGATATCGCCGCAAGCAGCATGCTAGTTCAAGTGGAGCAATTATGGTTTCACAGGCACAGATCTTCAGGACTTGGTCATTTTGGGCACCAGACCAGGAAGAATGGTGTCAGCTGTGACGCATTATGCTTTGCGTCTTCAAGACCACAAGGCTGTTCCAGAAAAGTACGAGTGGGCCGAAGAGCTTTAAAGAATGTCAGCGACACTAAGTATTGACCGAGCGGTAGCGCCTCCTGGGAGTGCTTGTCAGAGGGCTTTCGGAGCTACCATGCTTGCGAGCGCTTGGGGCTTGGGGAGTCCTCCCATTGTAATAATCTATATTCAAAACTTGTCCTCAAGTCCGACATCTCGCTAGAATGTGGAAATCTGTCTTGCTAATGAGACTAATGGAGGTGCTGTACACAGTAACAAGATTGACTCCATGAACGTCAGAAATCAGAATCCAAAATGCAATTGTCCAGGAAAGGCAGAACCAAAAATGTCATATATCAAAGGTGAATCAAAGAAACCACGAGCATCTCAAGACTTAAGATAAAATTCAATACATCCCACTTGGCGAAGGGGGGAGCTGTAAGGGTGTAAAAGAGACCAGGGAGGACTTTACCAGGAGGCCAGAAAGTGCTGCCTCAGGCGTCGACAACAGTCTTCCCAGCTTTCTCTAACATGCGTCTCTGTAAGGAGGGCAGAATTAATATGCATCTGAAGAGGCCTCGCATTGGCTGAATGACTGTGCGACACCGCAGTGAGTGAAATCAATAACTATCATTTTCAGCCATATTGAACAACCACGCATTGAGCATTATTCTATCATGACTGCATAGAACTCAATAGTGCTCCGTACTCATCCTGAGATGGAAAAGGTAAACTTTTGCCGGCAAACTCAATGCATTATAGCTGGTCAGATCAACCCTTCTTCATCTTAATGGTCACGACAATCAAGAAGGTCATTTCGTGGGCTTGCAATGACAATATCATTATCATTGTTGGTTTATTCATGACCGCGCTCGGCAATGGCCGAGTCATGATATCAGACTCGATTTGATTACTCGCCACTCTCGAAACACAGTACACCATTATCTCAATCAGGGAGGAGAGAGGGTCCACTCCAGTTCGCGGTTGAAGGTCAACAGAGTTGGTGGCTGGCGTCCAGCCTGCGGGACGCAGGCAATTGACAGGAAGATGATCTTCGTGAACCATGGACGGCCACGAAAGTTGAGTTATACATGATAACCTAAGTGATCGGTCATATCCGGCCTTGTCCTGTTTGAGAAAGAGGCTGTGAAGTTAATAGCTTCATCGATTCTCCTGGACGAAGATATATAAGGTCTCTGGTCCCTGCATGACCCGAATCCAGCAACAACAAATCATTGATGAAGTTCACACCCTTTGAGTTGAAAGGTGAACTCCAAGAGGAGAACCATCATTTGAACGCGATGTCTGGGTCACATCGCCCTAATGTCCTCTCTGAGGAAATGGAATTACTCCCGACTACCGCAGCCTTTTTCCGCCGGGTTTCTCGCATCAATACTCGTATACCTCCTATCGCCAGGAAAGCTGCCGTGCCTTGCAAGGTAGCAAATATGTCGCATGACAAACTGCAACAAGAAAACGCGTCTCCGTTGCCCAATCTGCGTCGTTGCGTCGGCCACACCTCTGTTCTTCGCAAATCGATGGAAGCAACCCAGAAAGAACGCAGACGCCAGATGCACCGTCTGGGTTACTACGAAGACAACGGACCCAACTACGGAGCCAACGATAGGACCGAGATTGACATTTCTGCCATCCGAGAACAAGTTGCCAGGACAGTCAAGGCGATGATTCGTCGTCGCTCCATCACAGGCACACTTCGAGGCCCTGAATCAGAAAAGGCCAATTCATTGGTGCGCGCATCGTCACACCGATCTCACGAGAGCGATACGCTTCAACAGGCAACGGAAAAGAAGCACAGATTTGCTGCCAAGAGTCGGAAATATGCATCCATGCTGGTACCTGGGCGGAGGATGTTCACCTGTCCCTCTCCCATGTTACATACGAATGCCGTCTTTTGACCCATTCTAATTGTCTTCATATCAGATCATTGAGACTATCCGCGCACCTCTACGCGGATATGGCGGATCTTACGAATTTACGAATAGTCTATATAATGGGGAAGCGACTGAGCGAGCAGGCACTGCTAGATATTAGCGACGTTTATTCATACCTTAGCAATCGATGAATGTCAAGGCTCGGTCCGCGTTAGGTCCGACACAAGACAAAGATAAAACTTTGTTCAAAACTCCCTCATTGTAGAGCCAGCAAGACGCTCATGTCTCCCTCTCACAATCAATCTGATTGTGTCAGAAAGTCATCATCATAGAGAGGTAGAACCCTTAGAGTAGAGTTTGCTGATTGACTTTGCGGACCATGGATCCGCCGCGTCTATTCTCCACAATACGGATATCAGCAGCACTGTTTGTCTCATTGGATGGAAATCTCAACTCCAGATCGGAATGGCCGGCTCAGCGACCCTGAGTTTGTTGGAAGGTTGAATCCGAGTCTGGCCGAGCGACGAAGGATCGCCGGATTCGGATTCGGATTGCGTTTGTGCTCGTAGTGTAGGTTCAGTGGTCCTTCAAGTATTGTAGTCAAGTGGTCTTATTCGATTGAAGGCGCTGATAGTTACTCTTGCTTCAACTCAAATGGCAGGAGAGGCTTGGGCAGACAATCAGGGACATAAGCAGCTCCCGTCTCCCATTCGATCGATTCTCACCAATCGGAACTGGCGTTATTTCGAGTGGAAGTACCCTAATCTACTTAGGTATCTGATCGAATTGTTCAAATACTTAGATTTCGTCAGCAATATTCTAGACGCTGATGCCATGAACGGTTCCAATCCTGTGGTACTCTCCAAACCTTGAAGAGCAAGAGTAAGCCTTGAATTGCCGCTAGAATCCTGGGTTTTGATCAACAACGTAGAGGCAAATGATGCAGCAATATGTGTCTTACTTGAATTTTATCTGAATCGCTGCATGTGCACGAAGGACGTGTTGCCGGTGGTAAGATATATTGTTTCGCAATCGGTTGCACTTTGGATTGATTGTTTGCCGTATTTGAGTGCTGGCAACACTGTACTCTGTATTTGTATAAGCTTGAGCTTTAAAATGATCTTACGAGACTGCTGCAATGATTACACAAAGTCGAATGACATTTCAAGACTCCAACAGCTGGTCGATATCAACAAAGCACTTCTATGGAGAGCAAATCCCTGATTGGCCGGACCAAGGCACCAAGGCACCAACACCGCCGAAGTGCCAAGACCAGCGATATGAACTTTTGATAGCATCATTCATAGCATCCAGCATCAGACCAGTTGCACACAACAAGAGATACAGTCACTAAAGCAAACACTGGCCAAACCACCAGACAGTCCCATCATCAGCATGGCCAAACAACCCCTCGCCAAAACCCTCCAGTTCGAGAAAAAGAACAAAGACATGCTCAAGCTCCCAAAATGTACGTGCTAATCAGCACCCAACTGAACGAACGAAATCCACTAACAAAACCAACACAGACGCTCGAGTGCAAAAACGCCCTATCCCACACGCCCCCGTCGCATCCCCTACGCCGGCGCCTCGGTCCCGAAAATCGTCTACGTCTCCACCAAGTCCCCCTTCATGAGCGCCGTCAAACGCGTCGAGAAGCTTCTCCGACAGGCAGAAAAACGCGCCACCGCGGCCGTCAATCTCTCAAGTAGCAAGCGGACAGATCGGCAGAAGCTGGCTGAGGTAGCGCGCGGACAGGAGCAGCTGAGCAAGGAGGAGGTGTTCGTCAAGGCGACGGGCCGGGCGATCGAGAAGGCGCTGAGCGTTGGGCGGTGGTTCGAGGAGCGGGGAACGAGTATACGGTGCGGGTGAAGACGGGGAGTGTGCTTGTTGTGGACGACATCGAGGAAGACGAGGAGGCGAAGCGGAAAGCGATTGAGGAGGCGGAAGGGGTTCTGCAGCAGGAGCAAGCCCAGAAGAAGAAAGACGACGAGAAGGATGTTGGTCAACCCGCTTCGGATCAGCCTGTCGACGCTCCCGCACAGCCTGTACCGAAATCCGAAACGAAGAAGAGGAAACGCGCTGCGAATGCTCTGGCCTCAGCCTCTGGTGAGGAGCTACCGGAGACGCGAACGCGATGGGTCAACATGGTCGAAATCGCCGTGACGCTTAAGTGAACACCCCCGGATATGGCACTGGAAAGCCCCCCTTCTCAGATTGCGTATCTCGCCTCAGCTCTCAAGTGGCTATAAGTGGCGTCCTCTCTACTTTCCTCCGCAGTGCATGTCTACTGTGATAGACCGAGGAGGATTGATACCGACCTGACCTCCACCTCAGCACTAGCTAACACCGTGTGGGGCGTCATACCTGCAGAAATGCCCATCGCATTTATCTAATCGACGATCCAGCACACATACCCACAATCTCATCGCCTCGGCTACCATTCTAGTCAATTGGCCTGATGGTAGCCGAATCAGTCGCAGCCCGGCCGATATCTACGTGGCCGTGAAGGGTGATGCTGCTTCAAATCGAAAGAATATGCCATATCCTTCCTATAGGCACTACATCTTGATATGGGCAATTTAAAGCTAGAGCTGCATCAACGTGGTGAACTATCTTATTAGAGAGATATGATCATGATCATAGCCCTGGTCTACCGTGGAGGAGATCTTGGATTGAATCTCCCGCATATAAGCAGACAACCTGTAATGAGCTACAGGTGAAAATGCTTCATTCAATAGTAAAAGCTATCCACGAGTGCAGTGCAGACTTTTCTAGACTATTCAGATCGCGATTATAATGCAGACAGATGAATGCGTAGACTCGCCGTAAAGCTTAATCGTAATCTCGAGAATTGAGATACTGGTTAATTCGCAGAAGTGCAATTAGAAGGATGGGCAATGTATGATTATGCATTCATAAAAGGAAACTCAAGTCATTCATCGCTTCGCGGAAAATTCAAGGGAAGTGATGCTGCTATGATAGAACTAATACACAGAGGGTGAGCCCTACTCGGCTTGCTGCTGCCCAGAAAAAGAAAGAGACATTAACATGAAATGACGAGAAAACCAACTGCCGCCAGAAAGTCGTAACTGGGTCAACAGGGCGCTAGAACAGGAGGAAATGTGGAAAGGTCCGGTGATGCACGTTATGCAATGTCATAACTGCAGGTCAAAAGAGAGTAAAGAAAACAGCAAACACCAAACACCCCAGCAACCAGTGATAAGAAATGAATCAAGGGCCCGTGACCAGTGTACACGAAGGAAAAGGAGAGAACCAACCCGTGGGAAGCTAAGTGCTCAAGACAAGACAATAGGAAAGGTTAAAAAGAGGGAGGGAAAGCCCGAGGGCCAAACAAGATGATGACGATGCTCATATGAGCTCAACACCCTGATTCAAGACGAGGTCTCAAAAGATGAGGAAGACAATCAAGAAGACAATTACTTGTCCATCTTCTGCCATCCGTTCAGGTATGCCATAAGGCCTACCCCTAGAAGTACCACTCCAAGCATCGACGCATACGGGCTGGTCTGTTCCAGAACATGGTGTTTCAAGGGCTGTTTCGCGAACGCCGTGCCAGAACCATTGACGTTGGTATATGACGATGACGGTGTTGTGATTGGATGTGCTTGCTTCTCGACTTCTCCGCCTCCAACATGGCCGGCATCGTCAGTCGGCGAATGATCGCGAGTAATAGCAATTTCCTGCGCTGCAGATTCGTTGCTTATCTCGTACTTCTCTGCACGCTCACGCCGCAGAGTGTCGATCAGCTCCGCCAGGGACTTGCGTGCTTCCACCGTCTCGCTCTCCGCTTTTTCTGCCCTATTTCTAAACATTGCGACTTGCTTCTTCATTTCCTCCATTTCTTCCATCATCATTTCAAGGCGAAGTTGCAAATGATAAGCCTGAGTGTCTGCTAGCGTTTCTGAGGTGGACGATTTGTCTGAGCCCGAGTTAGGAGGCATTTCCGCGTTGGTAGGCTGCTCATGGGCGTGCTTCTCGCTGATCGCCACATCATCGGACCGAGCACCCATACCCTGTTCGAGCGATTTTCCGTCGATGCCCTTTGCCTGCAGCTCCAGATTTCTGGCCTTCTCCTCTGCAGACTCCCGTGCGTTGCGTTCTTGCAGCAATAGAGTCTCCAATTCCTTTACACGGGCACCCTGACTATCCAGCTCCCGCTTGGCGGACGACAATGCCTCGATTAAAGACAGGATCTGACTGGACTCACGCGAAACAGGAGAGTTACTTGAACCTAATTTCGGCTTCTCCGTATCCGACCGTTTGAGAGGAGAGAATGCATCGGCACCCGTGCGGGGCGGTGCATCAGGCTTTTCGGGAAGTGGTTGCTGCGGTGGTGGTGCAGGGGATCTGAGAATCTTGAGAACGAATCGACGCGCGGCATCTTAGGTCTGCCGTTGACTTGACGCGAGACACCGCTGTCTGGTGGCGAGTGCTTTGCTTTCTCTTTTTCTTGGTGACCCGGTTTCGTCAAAGAAGTCAAAAATTCGTCGGTTTGCCGGAGATCTTGTGCTTGCTGCTTTGCCTGTTTCATTTCACTCTAGACGCAAAAAGAATTAGTGGGATGCCATTTTGGAGGAAAAGCGAGCAACAAACGTACTGTAAGCCGCTTGACAATCTGTTCGATGGAGATTGGAGAATTCCAGTAATTCATCTGACGTTGCTGCTGCAACGCACTGAGTTGACTGCTCGCAGCGCTTTGCGAGCTTCTATTGCTCATCGTGCTCCCGGAGCGCCCTCGGAGATGCGACAGAGGCTGACTGAGCGGGGAAGGGAGAAGACCGTTACCAGAAGCGGGATCCAAATCTCCCAGGGTGAGGTCGAAGATGTTTGGCATAGTCCCATAGATCCCAGCGTGCTCAACTTTAGCGGAGACCTTGTGATGGACGATCGTCTTTTGATCCTCACTGACGATGTCAATCCCCAGCTCCAGGGTGTCGTTTTCGCGAAGTTCGTGTGGTTCCGACTCGCGGTTCTCCGGAGACAGGCGCTGGCCATTGACAAAGGTCCCGTTCGACGATTTGACATCTCGAATCCAGATTTTGCCAGTCTTGTCCGCCCATATCTCCGCGTGTTGTCGAGAAAGCACTTTGGAATCGAAGAACCCGTTCACAGGAGTAGGAACGGTTTTCGCATTTGTCTGTCGTCCAATTCGCAAAATTTCTGGGTAAAAAGGAACAGTAATCTGCTTTTTTTCAAAGGTGCCATTGATTGGCAGAAGCGTCAATATGGCCGGCGGCTCCCCAGATGGCGCGCTGCCAGCGCGGACGCCATTCTGCTGGGAAGACTGGAGCATGTGCTGCGAGGGAACAATAGACGAAGGCTGATGGAGAGCGGACATGGTCGAAGCAGCACCGGGCCCAGAGGAGAATGCAGGCATCACCTGGGTGCGTGTGGTACTCACTCCAGTTGCCGGTTCAGACTTGGTACTCGGCCAAATACTCCTGGAGGACTTTTTCTTCGAAGACCAGGTACCAGATTCAGCGTTGTTACTTTGTACTGCATGAGCGTTTTGTGAACCGGCGACTATGGTGGAGGTGGAGGAGTTTGATCCTAAAGACGACGAGGAGTTGGATCTCTGAATCGTCTTCCGTGGCATGAACATCCGTGAAACTTCGTCGTTCATTGAAGTCAGGGCTCCTTGTCCTCCTTTACCAGAGTCGTACCATCCCAAGCGAGGACCCTCTTGCACACTAGGCGGTGATGCAACAGCAGTCATGGAGAAACGGGCTGGCGCAATAGACAATATCAGAAACTCAATGTGCCAACACCGCCTATCGCATGGGTGCGAAGTCGAGGAGCGAATCGATAAATGTTCGAAATATCAATGATTTATCGAATACCAAGCTCGTTTGCGATTGTTTATGATGAAGACTAATTGATGCTGAAGTATTGCGATGTCCGGGCTTTGATCCCTACCGACTCTGAGGAGGTCACGTTAGTATTGTTTCGATGCCAACATAATCGAACTCGTGTCATTTCCACCAAAAAGGAAGCAAATACACAGTCGGTGAGCCCTGTGTCCAAAAGACGAGACGTCAAACATACCTCTGAAATTGAGATCTGGAGAGCAAAGTAGAGATAAAGTATGGAAATGAGACACTGGGTGCGTCAAGTCAAGGGAGCCGTGTGATTCTTGGTCCGAGCCGGGGAAGCGACCGGTTGATGAAAGAACGCCGTCCAAGAGGAAGGAAGGAGGCACGAGACGGGGCTACCGCCTTATACAGGCTTCTGGACCGTTGAAACAGCAAAAATCTTGACGCACAAAGGCTGAAGTTCCAGGACAAAATTCACATGGGATGCACAACACCACAGCGGGAGAGGAGGTCAGTTTAGGCCTTGGGACGCCTGAGGCCCTTACTCACGTGACTCTGCACGAGCCATCATTGGAACAAGAAGCCGCTTCATAGTGCATTTGGATGTTCTTCGGAGTCACGTGCATCTGACGGAATAGGCCCGCGGCTTTGTAGGTGGAGTGACCTTTCGGAGCTTTGCTGCTTAAGAACAAGCTTGCCTAGCATCAAAGACCTGCACAAATAGCATTGAGACTCCGGCATCCTACCTTTGATATTTGCTCTAAGCGCCTGGTGCATTCAGAAATACAGTATATCTTCTCCCTTGTTTCTCGAAAATGCCTGTCGTTGCAGCTCCGCCTCAAGGCCACGGCCCCTCCACCTTTGACAAGAGTGAGTTTGGAGACAGCTGGGGCATTTGACGATGCCCACATCCCTCTGTTGATGGTGAGCTAACTCTGCAACAGTGAAGATGGGTGCTCTGATGGGATCGAGTAAGCCTGCGGAAACATAATGTCCTTTCGCATGAAGCGTCGCTAATCAAAGCGTTCTTTCTAGCCGTTGGCGGTATCATGGGATTTATCATCGGTTCGTACCATTAAAGTGCTGATATATGCGAATATGTCGCTTACACGGTCTAAGGAACCGTCACTATCTTCCAGTATGGCGCTGGGCCTAACGGTGTGATGCGCACTCTCGGAAAATACATGCTTGGTTCGGGTGCAACTTTCGGGTAAGCTTTCTTTCCAGCCAGCATGATACATTTGAATTGGCCGTCTGTTATATGGAACAGAGACGATTAAAATTGTTCTGGCCGAAGTTCTTGTGCTAATGTGATACTTGCTTCCCAACAGTCTTTTCATGTCGATTGGTAGCGTTATCCGTACCGAAGGACCTCACAACGACGCTTGGCTGCGTGCTCGGGGACCCCCAATGATGCTTCCTCGTCAGTCTCCTCTACGGCTCATGCGTCAGTAGATGCACAATACTGCTTCTGCCGCAGGAACTGAGAGGGAGATATGTCACGACCCGTGGGGACGACTTGTACAATAATATCTACCGGGATGGGAACCTTGTACTGCAGGGAGCAAGACACGCGGTATGGCAATTTGCCGCTGGATGGCTGCAAAATGTCAGCGCAGCGGAGGGACTCTCCCTACATCATGTACATAACATGGAGGCATCGGACATTGGGTCGGATGGAAGGTGCCTCCAGCGATGCATGCACTTTTTTCTGGCGTTGAACCAAGGGATATCATTTAATGGGAGATTGATGAGATGTCAAATCAATTGGTCACATAACATTGGATATTGAAGTAAAGCATCCATGATTAGTATGGACAGAGCTACGGTATACGTGCAGTCATTAAGTCCACTAAGTGTGGCATTTCTTACGCTGGTAATGTTACAACTAACTTTGAACAATGAGGAACCTGGGAAGTCGCTCAGCAGCTGCATTGAACAGCTGGCCAGACAGAATGCTAGCATGTCGAGCCTTGAATAACTCGAGGGTCCAAGGAAGCGGACGATCGTCCGTACAGGGCAGCTAGGCGTCTTTTGAGCTCGAAATGATCCCGCCTCTGAGGAGATGTACGATCATTAGTGTCCCATTGTCAATACACTACAGGCTGTTGTATGCCGCTGCCTCTGTTCAAGAGAGAGGTGACTGAGGGACTGCAATAACGCGCTTTGACCTAATCACAATTCTGCCTGACGATGTAATGAGCTGGCGGTGACACCGAGTTTGGACAGGTAATATAACGCGATAATGCGGAGATGTATGCATGGTCACCTTTTTACTTCGTGGAATACCGATCATCGTGCCCTTGCTTCGATAAAAGATGATCATACTTGGGTACACCAGAGCGGAAAGAGAAGTCCGAGCTGTTGCTTGGTGAACCTTGACGATCATGTTGATCTGAACGCCTAGATTTCAGTAGGGCAGAGTGAAATATGGGGCCATTCTCGTTAGAGCGACAGAAACCAGTAGTCTACTCTGTGGAGCCGAGGCAGTAAGAGATGATCTATAGGAGATCTTCTCTCAGGAACAGTTTGAAGAGTCGTGTATACTCAACCGAACCTTGATCATTATTGTATTATTGTTGCGCCAGTTCCTTTCTCAACGATGATACTGCTCCTCGTGACCTCAGACCTGCGGCAACCAATTCAGCCCTAGGCATAATTGGGTGCCTGGGCCCCATTTCCGTGGGTCATGACTGGATTTTCAGGAACAGCCGAACAGGTGGATGGACTAAGACTGGACAGTTGGACTGGGGGCATCACTGGCATGGCCATTCTGCTTGTATCCACTGAGTTTTTTAGTCCCTTCGTAAACGGTGTGACAAGTTGAGAATTTTTACTTTGCAATTTGCCATCAGGGGACTATTGGAGTTTAGCCAGCGCATGTAATTTCCCCATTAGCTGGCGCGATTCGCCCAAGGGACGAGAGTTGAAAGAGTCATATTATTACGAGAAGCATTCTGTGCCAAATCCTCCGATCTCCGATTCATCAACCAATTCAGTCGATGATTGCTGCGCCAAGGGGTGAGTTTAGGTCCCTGAGGGTTCGAACTCCAAAGGTGCGACAATCAACATGCCTCTCTCAGACCTGCGTGAAACAGCCCAGAGACAATGGAGGTGACCGCAGGCGCCAGAATGAAGTTTAAAGAATTTACGAACCACCACTTCTGCAGGAGTTGAATGAAGGACAAAGGTCCCTTAGTAGTGATGCTCACATAACAAAAATCTTTTTTGTTGCTTCTTCTCATGATGATTTCGCTGCTCTTCTCCAGCCAGAACTGCAACCCAAGAAGGCAAAAGAGCACTAGGCTCTGGTGAGGGTCTATTTAATTACATGGTCCAGTAACTTCGATCGTACCTGACCAAGTGACGATGCACCAATTTCCGGTGAGGCACTAGAGGTGTACTAATCTCGTTTCTCGGGGCTCCTAGGCCCCTGCAGCGAATCATCCCATGGCGTGCCTGGGGCGAGTTTAGGTTTTTGAAGTCGCATGCACAGTTGAACCCTTCCGACCATCCATCATCGGCCACACACATCACACAACGATCCGCTTTGCTGACAAGGTCTTCCTTCTTCAGGAACCTCCACGGAGTTCGAACTAGTCAGGCAGCTACAACTTGATCCTCGTAATTCGCTCCACAATCCTAAGAAAAGGTTTTCACCGTCCCTCTGGACCCTTAGACTACCGTTGTTCATGAACTGCGGACTAGACTACCAGTACGAGCAGTGATGGCGAACCAAGTCCCAACCAAGCCCAAGCTAGGTAGCATACCTTATGAGTTAGGACAAGTCAGTCCAATAGAAAACCAAACACAATAAAAATCTTGTATTAGTGTAAATTGATGGGATGGACTGACCCCTTGCGATTGGTTAAGAATCTGCCCCCCAGGCCAAGCTGCACAGACAGACTCATGTTGTTAAATAACAAAGCGCTGCCCCTGTCTGGTTTGGAATTTCTCCTTCATAAAACCTCCTTCACACGTTCGTTGTCTGGGGAATATTGTTCCACTTACACTCCTTCTTGGCCCTTGAGCAGTGCTCCCCACGTTCCTTACAATAACCTCCTTCTGCTTCTTGACTCCGGCGCTCACTCGTTCGCGTACCGAGTCTTGAATTCTCAGCGCTCCTTCATCCCAGTCATTCAACCTTGGTCAACCTTGCGCGACTATCCCAGATTACCGTGCCGGTTCCAATCTCGCGGTTACACACCTTGCTCTCTTGCGCATTGCGTTCTCTATCCTTGACATCGGATAAGGATACCTCGATCGATTCATACGAATAGCGCTGTCGCGTGCACAACATCAATCTCCTAAGTGTTTATAAAACCCGGCGATTCATTCCATCAATATGAAGATCAACGCCATTGTTTCGTCCGTACTCTGCCTGGCTGCGACCCAGCTTGTCGCCGCAGATACCACCACTTCGACCTACACCCACACCATCACCAAGACGCTGGTCCGCGTGAATTCGGAAACCCCAGGAGCCTCCACAGTCGTCAGCTCCTATGTCATTCCCTCGAGCTCTGCTACTCCTTCTAGCAGCTGGATTGCCAGCAGCAGTGCTGCTGCCACGTCGACTCCTGCGTCCAGCACCCCGTCCGCATCTGGCGTCGTGAATCATTCCGGAGCGGGAAGTGTTGCTGATGTCCGTATGCCTGTCGCACTCGTCGCCGGATCTGTTGCCCTCCTTTTGGGTGCTGCGCTGTAATTGAATGAACAGCCATCCGAGTTTGTTTGCGTTGCAGACAAGTGCAATGCGAGAGCTGGACTTGATCAACGTCGCGCTCGTCGCGCCCTGGCAGCTTGCGAACGAGTTCATTGAATTCTTCTTCTACGCGCAAGTGAAGTACAGGTGATGCCCTCATGGTATATCACCTTGTTACCTTCGACTGCGCTCTTCGAATATATTCATACTTTTGATTCTTTCTTTCTTCTTACAACTTCTTCCTCCGCGTCTGAGATTTTACGACTTGAAGAATGAGGCAGTGGTCGAGGCGCTTTGGATTCATATACCCCTTTTTACGACTTCTTCTACGAGTTGATGGTGATTATTCCCCCTTTACCTCCCTGATGTCTGCCGGTCATCCGGTTATGATCACGGAGTTTCGGTTTCATTCGACCTGTGAGGTGGTTTGTTGAGCTTGGAGGATACTATTATGTTGCATATAGCTTAGTACATAGGCCAACTCAATAGCAATTTAAAGCTTTTGGTCAAAATCCATCTCTTTTTTCAATAGAGAATCCCTCGGCCTGGTTTCATCTGACTGCATTTCTGCAATCTCACGTTACACCACTAAACGGCGGCACACAGGTTTTAAATGACTAGTGCATCAGGTCGATCAGATCAATTCCCCATGTTGAGCTTTAGATAAGTAGTAGTGTAGTCTGCCGATCAAAATGAAGATGCTCAATGCTCAATGCTTAATGCTCCAGCCTGATCGTCAAGTGGAGTTCTTCATTGAGGAACACCCGGCCCGATTGGCAGAGCGCGTGGAGGTGGAAGCCGACGCGTGCGCCGTTTCCGGTAAACAGTCGACTGACCACCGGTTGACCGTCACCTCTCGGACAGATTATCTGATTCCACATTCTTGCAGACGTCATGGCTTCCGCATGTCTGACTTGAGATTCTCCCTCGTGGTCTCGATTGCGCCTGCTCGCTAAGGTCTGTTGACGTCCATCGCAGATCCGTTTCCCCACTCCGGTGACGACGCGCCCCAGTCCAAAACAAGCGGCGTGGTCGCAGACTACAAAAATTATTCCCATTGTTTTTCACTGATAACCTATTCTTGAAATACGCTGAAAAAAGAGTTGCGCCCGGCATGGATAGCGAAGTCCCCCTTCCCCCGCCGCGACGAATCCGGCACCGCTCCCCCGCCAGTGTCAGTTCCTCCGCTGCGAAACCTCCAGCTGCCTCCTCGTTCAAAAAGACATACCGACTCTCGCGCTTTGATGACCGCTCCAGTCAGCCGTCCAGTGATCCTGCGCTCTTCTCCAGCGATGATATCCCTGCGTCTGGTCTCGAAAACTACAACGCCCCCGTCTCCTCTGGAGCTGCAGCGGGCAGGAAACGACGCTATCGGGGACATGGTGGGGAGAGACGGTAGTCGATCCGAAGCGGAAGAGGGCAGATTTTAAGGACAAGCGGCTTGTGGATAGCGGTGTGTGGATGGGAAGTGATGAGTCGACAGCAGAGTCGCTTTTGCCGTCTGAGGATGCGTTGATGTGGGGGGAAGACTTGATGAGGAATATGCAGAATTCTACGTCAGCTGGGGTGGGAAATGAGGGACAGATGGGTGCGATCAGTTCACAATCCCTGAATTCACAGCTGCGTCAGACCGTGCCACAGCCGGGGAATTTCAGGAAGGTGGAGGAGCCGAGGGAACATCAACTCGCTAGGACGATTGTCAATGACTGTCTCGAAAAAGGGCAGGACAGCGTCGACTTGAGGTGAGATCATCCCTGATTGAGTCGTGTGAAGCTGCGCTAACTCTTGCAGCAATGGCAATCTGAGAGCCCTTCCGTCGGGCTTGCTGCTTCCGCTTCAATATCTCACCAAGTTGCCCTCAGTCAGAGAGCCTCCAATATCGGAAGAGGGCTACAGCTCCTTGAAACCGTTTCTCCGTCTATTCCTCGCTGGCAATGCGCTTACTGCAGTTTCGGGAGAAATATTCGAACTCGACTCACTCAGAGTTCTCAGCTTGCGGAACAACAAGCTGACAGAGATTCCTCCCGCTATAAGAAAGCTGACAATGCTACAAGAGGTCAACCTTGCGGTCAATCGCCTGCGGTGTCTTCCTTGGGAATTACTATGGTTGATCAAAAAGGGTGATCTGAAACATCTGATGGTCCGACCCAACCCCCTTCTTCAGATCAATGAGGTAAAAGTTACAAGGTGGTACTTCCCCGATGGTAGCGATGCAGCATCACCGGAGGAGGTGTTGAAAGCGCGCCATTATGAAGGACCCGCACCTGAGGAAGCATGGGCCCCAATTCAAGTGGCGATCAGCCCCGTCCGACGGTTCAACATGGAAGGTATTCCCATAACGGATGGCCAAAGCGGCACCTTGCCGTTGAGATCATCGGACGATGCACCGTCTCATGTGCCCTCGTTGCGTGAGATATCTCTGCTGGCTTTCAGTCAGTCAGCCTATTGCGACCAGATAACCGAGTCCGAAATGATCGGCTATCCGGAACTAATGATTCGCCTCCTTCGACAGGCTAAGGGTGTCAGAAATGCCGGCGGTAGAAGCTGCTCGATATGTCACCGTAGCTTCGTAATTCCTCGCACCGAATGGACTGAATGGTGGGACTGCAGTACCTATGAGAACGGGCTCAAGAGACCTCGGTGTCCTGGGGAGCAACTACGCCCCTTGCCATTTCGAAGGTTTGGTTGCAGTTGGGCATGCGTTCCTGGAGCCGAAGAGTCAATGCTCCAAGCTGAAACTGGTCAGCAACAAGGCTAATAGCATCATTTTTGGAGGTTGGCATGGGCATGTGCATTGTGTGATTCCAAGCGACTGTCGATAGACTGTGCCATGTGTGCTGTACGTATGTTGGTGTATATTCGCCATCTTGCCTTGGCTGCTCTTGAGTTCGAGAGGCGGTCCGTAAGATTAGCTCTGCTATGGAGAGGCATCTACCTACTACCACTCCAAGGACACTCTGTAGACCTATTGCTCAATGTTGACTCTGTCTCCAGGTATAAACGCCAGACGTCAGGTGACTCGACTTTTATCCAAGCTTCCTTAGTTCTCCTGCAGCCTACCGCCTCTTGCTTCAACACGGCCGGGACAAGCATGTTCAGCAGCTCAGCTGCGCACTGTTCTTCACTGGGCCATCCTCTCTCGCGACAGAGAGCTCGTGGAACTATGATTTACCCCAGAAGGAGGTTCTAGAGGATTTCCTAGTTCGGCAACAGAGCAACGGACGGGATAACGGTCTCGACTTCGACATCCCGCATAAGGGCTGGGCCATTTTCGATTCTACTATGCTTAAATAGTTGGAGAAGCCGGCAGGTCCTTCGTTGTAACATACTTGTACTATACAGGATCATTCCTGCTGGTAACGTAATCAACCCTAAGTTTAACCTTGGATGATCCATTCCAACTAACCCCTGATACTAACCGTACCTTAGGTCTTCGTAAATCGCCCAAACCTAGTAATATCGGAATTATGCTCGGGTCTAGAAACACTGGGCCATGGAACCTTAATCTAAGACTCTGACACAAGGGTGATTTAATGTACATTCTACCTAGGACCTCGTTGTCTTTTATTCTCCTCCGCTGCTCATACAACTCCTCAAGCAAGGCATAGCCGCAGAACAGAAAATGAGTGGGATAGCGCCCCTACCCATGGAAATCTATGATGAGGTATGTTCAATAAATCAGCGACTATTATTTCTGTAGAGAGGAGCTGATTTGGCATAATAGATTTTGGAAAGATGCTACCAGCCCTGTCTCCTGCAGTGCTGTTCGATGTATATTGCCAATCGTCATATGAGGATATATGGTACGCTTCGTCAAGTGAATAAGGCATTCTATTACAGCGCCACACGTTTGATGTTCCAGACCTTTGTGATCCAACTGGACTGGGAAGTTCAGGGGTGTGACTTTCCCTTTATCAAATTTGAAGAGCTCTGCTGCAACGCCAACGCTCGCTACGTTGAAAGATTGGTTATCAAATGCTGCGAAAGAACAGCAGGTCCAGCTGCATATAACCCTGGAGACTTTGCTGGCTCTTGCAAGAAGTTCGCGCTTCATCTCAGGCAACTCCAGTCTTTACGCTCCGTTGTACTGGTTTTCTTCACATATCCTTATGGTAGACACGGCATGGAGGCGGGTGGCCATATCGAGCAGATAATCGAGGCTCTTCAACTTGCGCAGCTACCCAAGCTCGAGAGATTAAGGATAATCTATGATGCAGCGTCCGAGTTTACGTCTGAGGATGGCTTACTTGAAAGCCCACCGCCCCATCATCCCCCTATCTCGAGGGGTATAAAAAGTCTCCAAAGCGTAACCCTTGATCTTGGGTACAGCCGGGTGACCCGCAGGCAAGACTCCAGTATAAGTCAAATCCTTAAACAAGGGGAGAGCCTGGAATATGTTGATGCACATGGAATCCATAAATTCCCACGAAGTTCATCAACATTTCTACACCCATCGGCTCCCCTACAATTCTTGCGACTTGCGTTTACATTTCTCCCGGCCGAGTGCCTCCTTGAACTCCGCCACTTTCAAAACACGTTAAGAGACTTAGGGCTTGACGATGTGCGACTTAGCAGTCGTTCTTGGGCTGAAGTTTTCAATTTACTTCAGCAGTATTTCCGCCCTTCGCAGGCTGCAGGTAGATAACTGTGGATACCAAGATTGCCAAGATCGTTGGAAATTTATCCCTATGACTGAGTCTGATCGGCAGGCTTTGCTCCAATACATATTCCATCGTCCACAGACCTGGGCGAAATTAGTCCGCAAGATGCATCGCTTTCAATATCCATGAACGAACAGTCAAGTCTGGTAGTACTTGCGCAGGATTCGACAACAGGCACTGGAGCAGATGGTAAGGTACTTGGCAGAAACCATGGGCTGGATGACAATGTGGAACTTGGCTTCCTTTAAAGAAGTGAAGAATATCAATCCCATGGCCTGCCCATCAGCAGGATGCTAACCCGGGTATAGAAATGATTTCGCGTAGTAAAGTCTCTATCCCAAAGACGATAGATAGGATCCTGCTGGAGGAAGTAAAAAAATAATACATACGGGAAGAATTATATCGATGATAGAAGAACCTGGTCACATGTTGAATGTCGATATACGCATCTGAATTTGTTGGCCTTGAGGTATCTCTTTCATAAGCGCCTAAATAGGAAATTGTTGCGGCGGATGGCATCGTAGCCCTAATTCGAGCTCTTGACTTGCTCCCAACGCTGGGAAGATATGAATATGATGCTGATAGCTTCTAAGGCACCATAACCAACGTGACATGGGCCCGTGTGATGAGAGTGGCATCTTACGGCTTTCACAAAATGAATCTGGAGATAATTATAAATATGAGTGTGTAAATCGTCGGCTCCAAGGACGGACGTCCAAATTGAAAAAGTGAAAAGCCACGGCAATGCTCGACCTGTATCTCCTTATTTCTAAAGCACATCCAACTTCTTCCTGAACCTCAACTCGGTCAAATCCTCCGGCTGGCACACCATCACGCGGCAACCTTTGATGTCCGGGCGGGCCAAGATCTTCTCGTACGCAATAGCAAACTCGGACGCCTTCATCGCCCCGAACTGGTCTGCTGCAGCATCTACCGTCACGAACAAGCCAAGATAGATCTCGTTGAAGCGGACATTCGTGTCTGCGTTGTCGACGCATGCCACATTCGCCATGGAGTATAGCGCGCCCTGTGTCATGCTGGCTGCTGCGCGACCCCCATTGTCTCCGCTTGCGCCTGTACACAGCGTCCAGGTGCTTGTGGGGTCGCCCTGCTCGAGAAGATAGGGGATGGTGGCTTGATAGGCGACTGTCGACGCGTGTCAGTTTCTTTTCATATCTGTGGAAATCCTACAACATGGCCACAAACTCACAAAGGTTGGGCTCAAAATTGACCTGCATATGCTTCCTCAGCTCCTCAGTGGTGAGATCAAGTATTGACGCCGTTTCGAGCAATCCGCCAGCTGCCCATCGCACAATCAATCACCCTTCTCATCAGCCAAAAACACATAGCATATCAACACTCTGATGAAGTATCAAAACTCACCCGCAGCATAAACATGCTGAAACGCCGGCAACTCCCCCTTGCGCACTTTCTCCACCACATCCTTCACTCCCCGATCAGACAGGATGTCCGCCTCTACCGTCGTGATGCCCTCGCGAGTTCCTACATTGCGGAACAGCTTCTCTGCCGAAGCCTGGTTGCGCACGATGGCAAGGACGTGGAGTTTGGAGCGCAGAGCGGCGTGGATGGCCGAGGCGCCGATGTTGCCTGTGGCTCCAATGATCAGAACGGTCTGCATTTTGCTTGTGGAGGAATTGGTGATGGTTTAAGGTATGGTTGGGCGCAGGGTGCGGTTGCTGCTGTATCACAGGAGTTCGTGCGTTACTTCAGCATTTAGAACACGGGAAGATAGTTTCGAAAGATATATAGAGGGCATTCATTTCTAGGCAACGACCTGTCTTGCCGCCATGTTCTTCCTACGACCCCACCGCTATCTCCCTCACCCAGTCGTTCTCCGTGTCTGCATCCCCGAGAGGTAATCGGCTTGCATGGCGTTCTTGAAGCTCGGACTCCGAACTAAAACCGGCTATGAGAAAACCGCTTATCTCCGTGCTTACCACAATCCATGGGGGGTCCTCACTATAGGTAAGATTCGAGTTGCAGCAGATAATCTCATAGTTCGTTGCTTCAGAGGCTTGCACTCCCTTCTGCTTCAATCCCGCCGTCCTCGCCTCAGTTCAAATCAAGCACATTGGGCTCGCTAAGTTTCCATCCGATCCACAGAGTGAGCACAGAACTCCATCGAGAGATGAATACCGCATGAGCAAAGCTGCGTTCAATATGGAGGGAGTTCAGATGTATACGCCACTAAAGGAGCAGAATATGTGTTTTTGCCTAAGGTCATGCTGGCGATCCTGTGGAATCGGGAAACGCAGTCATGGAGGTTATAGTTGGAGGGAGGAGATGAACATGCTGGCAGATTTCTTCACGGAGATGGATGTAGCCTTGGTAGTCATTAGACAGTACTGGAACCTCGAACTACCTGATAAAAGTAGAATTAAGGTATAGGATAGATCGGCCCCGAAAATCTTAGTTAAGGTCCAAAACTTAATTTTACATGCGCGGACAAAAGTCCCAAAGGCGACTTGCATCAATTATTGGAGGCCATCTGTATACTGTACCCCGATAGATGCGATTTGATGTACCAACACAGTCCCAAGTCCATCTTAGACCCCAATCTACTGCATCGCCTTTTCCATATCCGTAGCCCATAGCGCCGCACCAACCGCATTCGTGAACGAGAACATCAACGAGGCAAACGGAATCATCTCAAACAAAAACGCAGCCATCCCAAATCTGCTCTCAGTTAGCAATCTCGTAAGTAACAGCACAAGACAAACCAAAGGTGAACCATACCCGGTATACCCTCCCTGATTCTTCTTCACCCACTCCTCTCTCTTCCGCTCATCCCACCCCTTCAACTCAAAATACCTCAAATGCGCCACCGGCCCATTCTTCTTCCCCTGCATATACACATACAATAGCGTCCCCACAACCGGAATAAAATTCAACGGCAGCAGCATCAGCGACCTCACCAGCGCCGATGGCCTCATCCGCTTCAGCGGCCGGTTCAGCACCCTCCCCAGTCTCGACACCGCTCCACCGCCAGAAGCATTGATCTGGCGCCCTTTCGCGACCAGCTCCGTGTGTCCGCGTGCAACGAGAGTGCCATCAAAGGTATCGGTCAGCGCGTCAGCGAGGACAAACGAGCGCGCGAGAAAATTGGTGATGGTCGAGCTTTCGCTGAGGACGAGCAGAGCGGCGGAGATCGGGGCCAGCGGGCCACTGGTGAAGGTCATGATGGCTGCTTGCGGGACGTACGTGAAGAAGAACATGGCGGTTGTGACGCCGAGGCCGAGACCGATGGTCTGGACGGCACGAGAGATAAAGGGGCGCCAGAGGTCTTTGTGGTAGGAGAAGAAGAGAATGCCCTGCATTATATGTCAGTCAAACCGATAGTCAGAATGCAGTCGGGCTTCTGAGCTCACTTTCACCGGGTAGAGATACGCGCCTGACACGGCGACGTCGTGGGCAACGGCTTTGAAATTGTCTGCCTCTTCGTGGAGGGCGTCTTTCATTTTATCCGCCATTGTTTATTAAGACTCGCAGTGCGATTGCTAGTTGTGATCTCAGTAGAGCCTCAGTATGGAGAAGAACTGTCAATTGGGCGTGGTGCAGTTGGAGTGAAGAGTATCGTCGTCGAAACATATGATAAGGATGGACGCAGCTATGACGTCATGTGGTATATGTGGTATCACCAACTAGGGCGTAGATTTCCTTGTCATACATGGTAGTTAAGGTGCGTCTGACGTCTGACGTCTGCCTAATTTTGACTTGTAGGTAGACTGTCTCTAACGCAAAAGCCTGTGTATACAGATACCTAATAACCATGGTTTGATAAGAATCCGTCCAGTCACCCTGCCTAGCCAATTGTGTTAGTTGTCATGGACCGAGCCTGCACCCCAAGTAGACAACGCCCCCAACGCCTAGCCAAGCTTATTACTCAATACCAAAATGTTCGCTAATGCAGTACATCCCAAGTGTCTCAAAGTGAAGGGAAATATCGTGATGAACAAAGACGCTAGAGTAGAGAGGAAACCTGATGATAGGGCTGCCCTCTCTTCATTGGTCGTTATCTGCCCGAGCCTGATGCCAAATAGTGTCGCCACTCAAGGCTGAAAGGCTAAGCGTTGCCAGATTCCTCCAACTGGAAGATGGAGGAGCAGAGGAGGCATGACCTTCTAGTGCCCCCAAATCTGAGCCTCGGTGGTGTTCAGGGGCGGAGGTCTCTTCCTCACTCGGGTTCGTAATGAGCATAGGGGCGGACGAAACGCTTCGATAGGATTCGAAGCCACGATTATCATCACCATCGGCCATTCGCTGTGACGAGTCGCGTGATTCCGCAGTTGTGTTTTGAGCCATGGAGCGAACGACGTCTCCCTTACAGATCGGGCAAGTCCGCCGACGGGTCGTCAGCCATGGAGTTCTGCGCCTAAGTTAGCAGAGTGTAGAGATACAAAACCGTCAGAGAGAGCTACTTACATGCACTCCGCATGGAACTCATGGCCGCAGGGTAGGCTCATCACTCTGCTTTGCCCATCGACGTATTCTTCAAGACATACAACACATTCCACCTGCCGTCCAGTGTACTTGCGGCGCCAAACGGAGGAGGCCGAACCAGACTTCTCGCCTTTTGCCGAGTCCATGTTCCGAGTCTTCTTGGCTTCAGCTGTATTGCTACGTAAGAACGAAGAGCGTGACGGGGCCAGTTCCGGACGACTCCGAGAACCTAGCAATGGGGAAGTCGGCGAGACTGGTCCAGGACTGGAAGATCGAGAAGAACTTGCTGCAGACGAAGGCGTCTGGATTGTATGGTAGGTCCTCACCGGAAGGCGGTCCACGATGGACTTCGGAGCCCGCCAACGCCTCCGACGGATGCGAGATCGAATCAAAAGGAGAGCATACACGACCGTCAAAGTGAGCAGAGGACTGACAACTAAAACAAGGAGGGTATCGAAGAAGGGGCTTGTAGACATGCTTGTTGGTGTCAACGTAACCCACAGGCCCTCATGTTCGGTAACCTTGGCATTTTGATCGGTATTCCTGCGCATCTTGTTGTTTGCTGGTTTATCCAAGTTGGCAACTTCTGTACGTCTAGGCGCAAAGAAGCGTTTGAAAAACCAACCCTTGTCTGCTGCAGCGTTTCCAGCAGAATTTACGGGAGAGCCATCACGCGAATGGAATTCTTTGTTGTCGCTGGATTTATCGACGCTCCGATATTCACCGCTTCCTGGAGTGATGCTACCGCCCTTCGGTGAATTAGAAGTCTTCTTTTGACTCTTCGCAGTTTTGCCGGACTCAGTCTTCGCCGAGCTTGCAACGCTACTCGGCGACGGTAGAGAGGTGCTTCTGGGGGCCACAAGATCTGGATCTCGCCAGTCCTGCACACCAATGATGAAGCCATCGCCGTCGGCAAGGCTGGAAACGCTTTCGGTTTTTTTGCGATCATCAGCAGCACTGTTGTGTGCAACTTTATTCGATTGTTGCTTATCACCCAGCCGAACCCAGTCAATGTTTCCGCTGTTAGGTGGTCGTCGGCTGTCTTCAAATTTTTGCCAGACGTGTCCATTGTTGGTCCTACTCAAACCTAGCAGTGACAGGAGAGAATGAAATAGTCCAGTTTTCGGTCTTGGGGCAGTCTGAAGCGGCTCATCCACCGCAGCCTGGGGCGTAGGGGTAGAAGACGGGGTGACCGATGTGGTTGTTGTTGGACTCACACGCTGCTTGTCCGAACCGGCGGAGAGTACAGTGTGAGTAGACCCGGCTTTTTCGTCCAAGCTTAGATCTGCTCCGGCCTGCGGAGGTATCAAAGATGATAGCAAGTGTGCTGTCGTGTAAGACGTGAAAACAGCCGGTATAGTCACATTGGATGTGTCCCCTCTGGCATACATCGTTACGAGACTTCCTCCTCGCGTATCATCACCCACAATCACGGCGATCGCTCCGCGTCGTTGAGCCCATTTGACCTTTTCCAGAAAACCACAGCCGCCTCTGCTTAGCAACACAACTTTGCCATTTATCTCGGCGCTCTCCTGCAAGGATTGTATATCTGCATGAGCAGCCGGCTTATTTTGGCGTTCTCCGGGCTTCTCCGGCGCACCTGCGTCTACCACATCTGAATCAGGTAAAGGATGATGCAAATGGTCGTCGGTGCCGTCGTTCGTCGAGGGTGGAGGGGCTCCGCCAGCTGCAAGATGTTCTGATTCTGATTCTTGCTGGGGATCAGCCCGGTGTTGACCTAAAGAGGCCGCAAGACCATCCTTAATACCAGATGAAGAGGTCTTGTCTGCGGCTACCGTCGACTTATCCGGACTGCGACGGCTGTCACCATCCCCCCATCCTGGGATATCCGAACAGCCCAACTCTCCCTCCGCGCCACCACTAGTTTTCTCCCCAAAACCACTGCCCACCCAGAGTGGGCCACTCAGTCCCTTATCTGAAAGAAGAGGGCCAAATGCTGCAGGTCTGGCCAGGAAAAAAGTCGAGTTGTCATCGGTAAGGCTGATAATAGCGGATGGTGGGAAAAGCGAGGAAGGTATATTGAAGGAAAAGAGAGCGTGAAATCCAGTCGTTTGACCAGCGAGCGAACTGGGATCAGCCACGCGAGGAGATGACGAAAGAGCCGAGAACAGGGTAAGGAAAATCGGAAAGAAGAGGAGACAGAAGACTATAGATACTAGGCGTGGCGGTCGCATGGTTGATGATTTTTGAGGACAAAAAATCCAGGTATGGTCCTGCCAGGGAGATTGAAATTGACCGAAAGTCGTGATTCAGGTGCAGATGTCCTCTTGTAGGCTGCTGTTTTATGACCAATCACAAGGTCGATCAAGGGGGATAGAGCCGGAGCTCATCGAGGACAATCACGAAGCGGATGTAAGGGCAGGAATCTGACGGAAATGCTATAGGGACAGGAGATAACAGAAGAAGATAACTCAGAAACAGAGAACTCGATGAGAAAAGAGAAACGGCAGGATGGACACACTTTGAAGAGGAGAAAGAGGAGAAGAGGGTAGAAGCCACCACCACCACCAGGAGCGAGCGTCACTGCGTCAGAGAAACAACAGACGCCATAATAAGGTGGGAAAGGCAGCTTGAAAACGTAAGGTAGGCCTCAGGCAGTCACAGCACAGCCTCGGAGTCACGGGTTCTGCGGCACTGAGGCGGCGATCCATCAGGCAGCGATCATTGTGTTTCGACGGCGGTATCACTGTATCGTACTCCGTACTTGACATTTATTACATTGCACGTAGTAGTGACAAGTATCATATCTTGGTTAATCTTTCCACTTTGTATAGTAATTAATCTGAAAGTCGTAAAAATAATGGGAGCACTTACATATACAAACATTCAAAATCAGCGTCATGTTTTCCCCTTTGCTAGAAGCTCATAGGATGGAGGTACTTAGCCTCCTCATGCCTTACCAGGCTGTCTATATTTTGTAATGCATTTTACACCAGTCCCCATAAATCATGCCACATTTACTCCGTAGATAGTCCCTACAGCCCGCCCCACATCTTCAACAGCCAGTTGTGCCTTAAATTTAAGAGTTGTCATTAGGCTTGGCAATTTAAAGGCATGATCGACGAACTGCTCACGAGGCACCTAGAGTCGAAAGACTACATAAGCGAAGAGTCAACTCAGTCTAGGACTTTGTTTCGTGCTACTTGCGTTACGGAGTACCCTGCTTTAATCAATGAACCCAAGACCATGTCATCTCAGTGGCTGGCACGAAGTACTATCTCTAACAACACCAGTAACAGTGATCCGTGTTGAGGGATAACCCCGTCAAAAATATAAACGTGATAAGGTAGCTCATGATACAGTCGCTCTGGAAATAGGCCAGTGGGCTCACGGTTATGTCATCACTATTATTCTCGACCACAACTCTTCATAGAGCGTCTCTGGATCAGATGACGCTGGATGACACAAGACTGATCCCACCACCTTTACGGTCGATTTTGGTCCTAGCCATGCTTCAAGACCCCCTCTAAGCTATGGGAACGATTGGTCCTATATCGTCACGCTTGCTGGGTGGCGGGAGAATGTTTGGCTCCTTATATAGTGAGCCAGGCATCGCTCGATTAGACGTCCAAGTGGCGGAAAACCATCAAATCGATTCAATTTCAGTTGCAGAAAATTATCAACATGTCCAACATTTTCCGCAAAGTCAAAGATGTCATGAGTGGGCGTCTCAATGACCCTAACGACACCGCTCAATACGATGACGGCGGTAAGTAAATGACTGAGCGAACTTGCGTTGTGGCACCTGGTCTGACTTGTCTGTAGACAAGCGTACTTACAATGATAGCGCAAGCGGTAACGATTTCGGATCTGGTGTTCACGATGCTCTTCCTGGTTCTGGCAACAGTAGGCCGAACGTTGGCGAGAACGAGCGAGACAGGAACGATCAGCCTCCTGCTTCTGCAGAGAGACATCGTGGTTCGCGAGGCTATCATGGGTCAAATTCGAGCACTGAAAACTATGCAACCGCTACAAATGATTACAGAGGTCCCACCAGCTAAGGCTTGGA